GTTAATAAGTCTAGGAATACTGTCTGTAGTTTACGCGACTAGTACACATTTAAATAAAACACTTCAACGGTTTAAAACGCGATATATTTTAGGTTACACTTGTTTGAAAATTATTTTCAACTACGACCCGACGTTCCAGATGCTTAGCAGCAGCCGTGTCCACGTTAAAGTTAGTTTTATTTAAAAGTCTAGGATTGGAATAGTCCACACTTGAAGCATATATATGATGAATGATAATTATCAAAATATTAAATGAATTTAATATTCTTATAGTACAGTGTCAAAAGTAAAATATTATTTTAGTCTCACACCGAAGTAATGAGTTAATGTTTAACCGAAGTGAAAGCTTTAGTCGAAGTCTATAGTGACTTAAGTATTATATGTTAAAGTTTATTAAAAATCAATGCTATGAATAAACTTTGTATTTAAATCGGTTATCGTTTTTTTTTTACCCATCTCTTATCAATAACATACAGTATTGTGCAATGACTCGTGGTAGAGTGAATCGTGACTTTAGTGGGTGCAGCGGGCCGTTGGGCTGCCAAAAACTGTGGTAATTGCCGCGATACTACTAACGATAACGAATATGGTTGCATGTGTTACTTTAAAACGAATGAAGATAAAGGTAGGGAGACAGTTTTAATTCAGTTTTCAGGTAACAGCTAGTAGGTAATGACAGTGTATTAACGGAAGCAGTTTTTAAAAGGAGGAATAAAAATCAAAAATCTTTAGTACTTATTATAATATATTTTAACACATTGTAAATACCTCTTAGTGGTCTAACGCTTCAGATTAAAAAAATATAATTTTCAAATGAAACTGTACGTCCATTATACAAAAATAATGATGATCCGTAATGATATATAATATTGAATGTGACAAACAAGGGCCTTTTATAATATATATTGAAGAATGAAAGGGTAGCGAAACAGATTATTATTGTTTTCAACATCGACGCTCTGCACATGGAATCGAGGGGTGTAGGATAAATTTTAGATTTACCCATTATGATATATAACGCAGTGAGCTTTTAAGTATAGTTGTAATGTATTTTAATTAAAAATCAGCACGTTCTAGAAATAATGACTTTTTTTATTTTTACAGTAAGAATTTCTTTATAGTTGAAAACACTTAATTGTAATTTTTACTCAGTCACTATTCGATGACCGGGAATACAAGCAATATGCCATGAATCGAAACGAATAACTACTACGAGTACTGTACTAGTTTTCTAATAAGTTTGCGAACAACATACACTTATACGCATTTCGATATCAAGATGGGATTCTACACTCCGAAGGGTAGATTCGAACATAAAGAAGCTCGGGCCGAACAATGTGGGCTATTGAAAATTTCACAAAGGGCACATGGTGCTTTCGAATAATTGTCAACAGGATCCGACCTGACGGGCCTTAAGAATTCGAGGGGAACTCTTTTTACGCTATTTGCAGTCTTGGATTTGGATGAGAACGTCGCAATAATACGTAAAACTTCCAAGCGACCAGGTGTACATTGCTTTTAAGGAGTTCAAATCAAGAATTCTAGTCATTTCTACAGCTCTATTACAAAGTAAAAAAGTGTAATTTCCGATATAATATGAGGCTGCTAGAGGCAGAGTGACCTAGTAACAAAAACATGATTTTCAATAAGGAGGAAAATAAAAATGCACAATTAGCCGAAAATGAATTTGTACTATTATTTGTATAAGAATTATGTTAACAAATATCTTGTAATATTTAATGTATTTGGTGTAATTTATACACATCTGGTTTATGAGAAAGTCAACTAGCATTAATGTCGCTAAGGATTTCTTGTTTATTAAAACTCTGTCAACATTTTATAACGCTATTGTCGGCGTGATGAATGAAGACAGGGATTTCACTGACATCACTGAAATTAAGGTGTTCGCAAATGAGACGACGGTGAAGAAGTGTGTAATCTTTGTGAAACAAAGGCGATGCGATGGACGCATTTCTAGCAGAACAAAAGAAAATTATTTTTCTTTCGCGCTCACGGTAATGAAAAGGTGTTATTGCAAGTGATTTAAAGCGAAACAGGTCAAACAATTTCAAAATTTTGTTTACCATCCTCAGGAGACATTGCTCAAATTAAGTATTTTATATATCCTAAATATAAAAACGTATTAATAAACGTTACAAAAAGAGAATATTAGAGAGTGCTTACTGTGACCGAATTGTTTATCACCTTGTTTATTAAAATAGAATCAGTCTTTTAAACGCTAAAGTAAAACATACAAACGAACACAGCCAAAATCATAAATTATAATTGCTTTGCCGTTATGTCAACGGTTAACAGATTAAGATATCACGATCTACTACTGACATATAAACAGTCATATTCGTTGGTTATAACACTTTTCCTACCTATTATTACACGTCATTACAGTAACTTTCACAGCCACACGTGTCAATTAGCTGAAAATCATACATAACATCGGACAATACGATACTCAAAAGTCCGTTTTATACAATTTCCAACCGTAAGTGAAGTAACGAAGGTACAAAGTTATTTCGTTTCAAAAATGCCGTTTACAATACGATAAATATCTTTGGAAACAATGCCCACTTACCGACGGGTATTTTGTTAAAAGTGGACGGTAAATGGGCCTCACAATTTACTAATATCGGGGATTATTCTTAGTAAATCTCTTTTAGATTTTATTGTTTCTTCTTTAGACAGAATTTTAATTTAGGGCAAAAAAGTAAAATACGTTCATGTGTCCATAAGCTAAATCGAATTTTTCTACAAGTGAGAATGATAGAACACCTTTGTCCTCTCCATTAAATTCATAACCTGTAAAACAATAACACCCTTATCGCATATGTTTTGATTGCAATTATGTTTGATTTCTCATTAATTCAGATATCTAATTATTATAACCACGTAACGAGAACAATAATCCCCTGGGTCTCAGATTCCAGCAGAGTTACCCGTCTAAAAAAAAAAAAAAACAAAAAAAAACCCCCCCAAAAAAAAAAAAAAGAAAAAAAGAAAAAAAAAGGGGGACCCGAGAAAAATAACAAATTAATTAGAATAATGTTGGACCCTGAGGCACGACCCGTTGAATATTAACCATACAATACTATACCAGTAATTGTAACAACGACGTAGTCAAGTTTAGATACTGTTTGGTCTGTACTTTGAAAACAAATGCCTTTTAAGGCTTATAAGTAACAAGTTTCTCACTACATGTAATTGAATTTCAAATTTTCAACTAACACGTCAATAAACTTGAAAAGTTTGTCTCTCAAATGCGCACCAAATTCATTAAAAAAGATGTTCTAGTTCTAGTGACAGGTACTTTCAGGGTTTTATTTTTAGTATCAAAATAAAAGGCAGTTCAGACCGAGGCGCAGTTAGTGTAATAAATCTAGAAAATACGTAAGCAGGATGTCATATTTGTCTAAATACGTCAAGCCTCATAAAGATATCCCGTACATTGCGATACGTGCACTGCGCTTTTAGATAACTCGCGCCTACGTGAGGTGGCGAAAATGACCTCCGCTGCGCAAAAATTGATAAGAATTATAGCTGTACTTGCTGTTTGGAGATAATGATATCTCACCCGAACAGCCTTCTTTCACCTTTGGTATATTCTTGAGATATATTTTTCATAACGAGGCCAATTAGGCTAAAATGAGAAATAAGCAAATGGTAAATTCATTCGTTAAACTTATTTGAAAAATATTTTTAACTCCGGCCCGACGTTTCAGATGCTTTGCAGCAGCCGTGGTCACGGGGAGACTTTAACTAATATATATCGCATTTTAAACCGTTAAAGTGTTTTATCTAAATCTGTACTACTCGCATAAACTACACACAATTTTTTATGGTACATAGAACGAAAATATATATCTATCACGGTTTATGTTTAAAAAAACTGTCGACATAAATAAATTAGACTGAATGACAAAAGCAATTTAGCTAAGAGACAGGAGAGGATATCATAACGCTAGTAATGGATGTTGAATAAATTGTGACACACCGCATCGGCCCTAGGTTCGAAAATGTTAGAGTAAGCGCTACACAGATTTAATTAAAGAAAAGAAAAAGAAATGAATATTACAGTTTTTATTTTTTACACACACTTTTTGCGTATCATAAAGTTGTAGTATTTCATACATATTTTTTTTCTATTTATCGGACGTTTAAAAATACGAATTTATTAAATAAAAACGAAAATTGTCATACGTATTAAAACGACGCTCAGAGATAGATTTTGAACACCAAGCTTCGCTTACTGACTGTGACGGGGAATTAAAAAGTTAATTGTCTAAATGAGACCTCTTCTAGTAGCACAGGGCTAACTAAGCTCAACACAAAAAATACGCATATTTACACTTAGTTTTTTCCTGCTTTTCACTACAGAAATTAATTTTATTAAAAAGTGTTATTATAAAAAAGATAAAAATTTTTTTTTTTGCCAAAAATTTCACAAAACTCTAGGTTTACATAAGTATTGGTTGCTTATTGCTTGCATAGATTATTTATCATCGCAGTATATTTTACTTGTTATTTTATGTATGAACGTTATTGTTAGACATATTATAGTGATTGGGAACAAAATTAATAAAATATAACATCATAGAATCGACTGCGCAAGAGATGACTCGGTCATTATGCCGAAATGGTATTTCGGGCTACGATAAATCAAAAAAGTACCGCCTCCAAACTAATTTATCACAATTTAACATACAAACAATTACGCAATTTAAATAAAAGAAAGCGCATTATCTATTAAGCTCTGTGGTTAATCACGGAATTAAACCTCTTCTGGTCATTTGTACCCGTCGTAGTAATAATTAACATGGATTGGCCCACCGCAGCAAGTGGTTAACTGCCGTTTAAATTCGAGAATAATGAGACGAGTTGCTGATTTAGTAAATGTTAAGTGTTTTACGCGCTCATTTACGCTTTATGAGTTAATTAGCACTTTAGGTATATCTAGCTGTGAATAAAGCTTGTATTAGAAAGCTAAGTCACGACGACTCACATAAAAGAAGATTCTTCCAACTTCCACCGAGTGCGCGCAGGCAGCGATGTAACCGAGGCGTGGCACTAGTCGGTGGAGCTCGAGGCAGAGACATCCTTACATCTCCCTCCGAGGAACTTCTTCCTAAAAGTGATGACTCTCTATCCCGTGATAGAGATCTACGTCTTCTAAATGGTGCACCTCTTACTGTTGCAAAATTTTCACCGCCGTTTACACTAAAGGTTTCCATTTGTATACCTTCAGAATCCTCTCTTCTGCTTCTGACAGAAAATGTTCTCCTGAATCCATTTGCTAGTCCCTCGATAGTTTTTTTCCTCGGTCTCTGAATTTCTTCTGAACTAATAACAGTAATATTATCTAAATCTTGAGGGTCGTATGACTTTTGAGGTCTAGATTCTAAACCGCTGAGATCTTCGATACCACCGTGGCGGTATCTCAGCGGTCTCCCTCTGTCAATAAGCCCAAGTTCATCATAACTTCTATATGTAGATGCTCTCCTGGGTGCCGGAGGGCGACCAGCACGATCGATTGTCATTTTAGTATGCGTCTAAGTTACCACCTGACAAAGAATAATTAATGAGATTTTAAATGTAGAATTATATATATCTTCTGATGGTCCTGGCTTGCATACACTGGAAATATTTAATGAATATAATTCAACGCAATTACTAAAATCCAATTTGCTTCAATTGGCATTTCCCCATAAGGTGATCGGTCTGTATCCTTGAAAGGCACCGCAGCTATTTAAGTTAGTTTATTGTTATATTTGCGTGCAATGCTCTCGTTAAACATAACAATATCGTGACTTGTCAAAGTTTAGAATTTGCTAATATAATTGTTTATCAAAGATAGTCCAGGGGATTGTAATATCAAGATAACAAGGCTACGTTATTTAATGGTAGGTTCGATAGTGCGTTAATAACAAATTTCTAATTCACCAAAGCAACGCGTAGACGTTATATTTGTTGCTTGTGTGGTATTTAAAAACGATGAATCGGCTTCGGGCAAAACACGAAGTTGGGAATCCAGACAGTGTAAACAAATACTTTTAATCGCATTAACCTTAATAAAGGTAATTAGGTAAATATATAGAATATAATCATTATTAATATAAAATAATGCGAAGTGCATCGTCGAAAGTCAACTCATTATAAATAACAAGTATAAGAGCGGTCCGGCGACGAAATCTTACATAATATTGAAATTGCAATTATTGTTGGAGCACTTCGCAGAACCCACGTATCGTGTTAAACAGATAAAATGTAGCGAAATGTCACCTTGAATTTCGTGAAAAGGGTACACGACGTGCAAAGTGCACGGAATAAGAGAAAAGAATTGTTTTATGTCAACACGGTTTAGAAGAGAAACGCGTTTTAAATGTTAATGCGATTGTGTAAATAGTAATTAAACATGAAATTCTTAACATCGTAAGTACTAATAATATAATTAGGACGAATTTGTATAAATAGCAGTGCACACAACAAAGAGTTTGATAGCAGGTTGATGTTTTCAAAATGGATAGTGTAATTCAAAAGGTAACAAATACTATAGAAGCTCAAAGATAACTTAACAAAGCATTTTGCGCCGTTTTGATTTGTGTACCCCTATTCGAACTTAACGATAATTTATAAGCTATGTAAATAGAATTCATGACAGCAAATTTCACGGAAAGCAAAGTAAACTCAAATACCAAAACTTGATTCATGATTGGAATCTATTAGGGAAATCTTGGCGGCCTCAACAAACAATATTTTTACTTATTTAAGTGAAATATACGACGTAAAAAATGCTGCTACTGGTCAATAGTTCCCTAATCAAAGTCAGGAAGTTTATGCAACATTGAAAGATGAGTAATACATTATTCAATAAATGCCGAGTAAACGCCACTAGTTTCTTTAATTTCAGGTCCGCTTAGGTTTGAAAGAGAGCGCTTTAGCACTGCTTTTAACTAATGGTCGCCGCGACTACATGACCCTAATCACCTGTTGGCTGAATGGGCTAATTTTCTATAAAAGCCTTCTCGACTTACAGTAAAGTACCTAGTAACAGGGTTAACAATTAATATCTTGTTAGTCAGGGCAACAATGTTATTTACTTAACTTTTAATAATACGACACAAACATAATTTGTAAAATAAAAATATTAAAATTATACTGTGCAACTGCAGCCATTACGTTTACATATAGTCGTTGGTAAATGGCTTACCGTTAAAACCCTTTTAATCATTGTTTATAAACAGAAAACTCATGCGCACTAGCTAAAATTACAACCGCGAGTGCCACTCGATTCGAGACCAAACAACTCAAAGTTGAAGGACGTGTTTGAACAAGAATTAAAGAAACAGGAAGCCATTTAGAATTACCAATCATAATGCAGCAATTTAGAAATGTTTACAACTAGTACACAATGTAAACTAATTGTAAAAGGATCAAATTATGGAACCGTGAGATATAATTAATTTTTCTACGACAGGTCTCTGTAAGAGGTCAGAAATTCACAAAGTTAAACTTATTGCACGATTTTATACCATCCTTTCGATATCTTTATTATTCAGCCGGGTTTTATCATCTAGATTTTACATATGGAGTATCCAAATGATTTTTAAATGAAGACCGGAGATAATCAAAGCTGTGGCTAAGTGAGCTCGTCTGATGGTCGTCGAAAATAAAGAAGCATTTTATATCTCAAAAATATTATCAATATAACTATTTTATCTGTTATACTATATATTCAGCACTTTGTAACCAGATGACTCGTATCCAGGTTAATGATTAAGACGAATGCGAACCATACAAGTTGGTCACTGTTAATCGCAGTTAAGTAATGTGTTGCTTGTGACGAACTGCACGTAGCGTCCATATTTGGGAAGTGACTCTTGATATACATTGAAATAACGATTGCATATGAAATAATTGTAATAATTTTGTAACACGTTTTTATACTGTAACGTATGTCTGTCTATTTTTGTATCACGCGCGTATGCAAACATAATAGTTCCCGTTATTAATTTACATCTCGCTCGAAACATTAATGTAAGGGTATTGTATGGTATGGCATTAGATGGTATAAAATCTTTATATACTAGAAGAAACTTACTTTGGGGTATATAATTACTATCTTGTCCGTTTCGCACATATATATATACAGCTAGATTTAATATGTGTTAAGGTGAATTTAAAGTGATAAAACGTATTTTTTTGCGTAAATTGTGTCTGGCATTCACTAATGAATTAGCAACAAAACTGTATGTATAATATATGTAAAGGGCACAATCCAGCGGCTAAAAATTAAGCAGCAAAAAGTCACAGTTCATGCATTCAACTAATTACCGTGCCTGGCTGGAGTAGCTAAAAGCCAATTAAAAGTTTGCTTACGAATGAAATAACACAAGTACACGTACTTATGAGAATAGCTCAGAAATAGTCGCTCAAAAATGTATTACCATTTTTTAACAACAATACGGTTAAGACTAGCATTATACTTAAGGACTTAACAGCAAACATCGTATAATCAACATATAATGTTTCGTTTATATGATGCAAGGTAATGAGAAAAGTAGAACGTGGTGTAGAATTCAATTTAGATCCAAAAGAATCATTTTGACGGGTTCCTTGGTGCAATAGTAGTAATCAATGGCTTATAATAATCAATGGGTCGTGGGTTTGGTACCCACCGGGTCTAATATATTTCTATTAAATTTTTATTTTTTATGAAACATGTTGGACTTGTCTGGAAATTTGGATATAAAATAAGTGAAAGGAATATCGAAACGCCGTCCGTAATCGCGTTTCGGAATCAGTCTGTGGATTTCCGAATATCGAAAGAAAATTGGTCAATAGCGCATCTTGTTTAGATGTTATATAGCTTGGCTGTCCTTCTCCTAAATAAATAAAATTACAATTCGCGTTTAACTAGTTTATGTATAAGCAATTCTCGTTAACCACAGACAACACATAACTGCAGTTCGGAGAGTTTAAACAGTCTACCCTGCTTCGATTAAAACTACACTCCCAATTCACAGCCGTCGCTTGTTATGAAGCATCGATTTTGCTACAAGCATGAGTCGTAAATTCAGACACGTCGTGATCGCCATTACTCTGACACTTTAACGAGAGGGTTTTAAATGATATTTCATGTAAATAAAGACAGAGAGAGCGATGAAAGGGAAAAGATTTGTGTAGGTCGATGTCATGTCACGAAGGATGAAGACTTAGGTCAGTCATCTCGGGGGAAAGCGTGAACTGGTGGAAAGCATACAGGCATAGATGCTGCTTAATTATTAACAACTTAGTACGAGTTGATATATATATTTTTTTACAAATAATAATGCAAGTCTTCCATATAGTACCACTATGTAAGTTAAGTTATGGAAGTTTTAAAAATATATATTTTTAAATTACAAATTGCATATTTTTATACAAGTCGGTATTTAACTTGGAATATTTTTTTATTTTTTTACCTTTTGCGCCATAAAACTTTTGGGGGTTACAAACTAAAGATGGACATTGACTTGAACAGAGAATCATTAAGATATCACAATTGACAGTGTATAAAACGAAAACGAACCGCCTCTGTAGCGAAATGGTTAAACCAATTACCTAGCATTGCTTTAGGTCCGAGAGTCTGATCAACTACTTGCCTGTAAATAAAAGCGATCGTTGAAACAATCACAGGACTGTGTCCGCTCTATGCCCCACGAGGGGAACCGGGTTTTCACAAAATACGATCACGATTATATTTATTAAATTGAAGGTTTTAGTACTTTTTATTATTACTTAGTTTTTGTAAACAAAATAACAAATTTATCTAGCAATCCATCTATTTCTCAAACGTATTAATTACAACATTTCTAAAGAATTGCAAACTATTTGCAAGACTTGAAATCGCCCGATTGTTAGCTTTGGCATTGACATAGAAATTTAATTAACCAAACATTTTAACACGACTAAAATCAGTAATTATTTACTTAAAGAGTTGGATTTGTTTAAACTGATAATACAATACACTTGAACAACATTTCGAAGACTTACAATCTCGATAAAATCGGACATGTATATGAGTAAAAGTCTGTATTCAGAAGAATTTCAAAGTGAAATTGCATGCAAAATCTCCGTTCACACAGCTTCGAAAAACCGCAAACAAAATCGATATCGTACGTAAAACATTTTCGATTTAATTCGGAAACAACTCATCGTGCACATTGAACGACACAGTTCGCCAGAATTTTGCCAATCTCACCCGACTCGTTTGCATTTCAAGAGTGAGTTTGAAAGATCCTTTATTTTATCTTCGCCGGACAGTTTTTAAATGAATGCCAGTTATTCTTTTTTGTGCATTCGTCGCAATTTTTAACGAGATTTCTCCCTGACAAAAGGGTGATAGCTTTGACAGTTGTTTAAACATTCTCTTGTTCTCGGTCGAGGATTCCTTTGTTTTATTTAACGTGAAGTCGTAGGCGACGAAGCCTTAACGTTTTCTTAAAATTATATTAGCAGGTGGTATATTTAAATGCTTTAAAATAAGAGGCCTAGTTCT